ACCCCCCCCCCCCACACCCCACACACACCACCCCACACACAACACACCCCACACACACACCCCACACCACACCCCCCACCACACACACCCCCACACACACCCCCCACCCCACACACCCCCCACCACACCCCCCACCCACACCACCCCCACACACCCCATACACAACCCCCACACCCCACCACCCCCCCACACACCCCCACACACAACACACCCCACACCACACACACCCACACACACCCCACACACACACCCCCCCACACACCAACACACCCCACCCCACACCCCCCACACACACCCCACACCACAACACACCCCCACACACACACCCCACACACACCCACACAACACCCCCACCCCCACACACCCCCCCCCACACCCCCCACACACCACACACCCACACACCCACCCCACACACACAACACCCACCCCCCCCACACACACCCACCCCACCCCCCACACCCCCCACCCACACAACACCCCCCACCCCCCACACACACAACACCCCACACCCCCCCACACACAACACCCCACACACCCCACCCCCACACACACAACACCCCACCCCCCACACACACACCCCACCCCCACACTCCCCCCCACACACACAACACCCCCACCCCCCCCCCCACACTCAAACACCCCCCCACACACACCCCACCCCACACACACAACACCCCCACACACCCCCCACCCACACACACCCCACACACCCCACACACAACCCCCCACCCCCACACCCCCACACCCCACCCACACCCCCACACACACACACCCCACACACACCCCACACACACCCCCACACACACACCCCCACACACACCCCCACCCCACACACCCCCCACACACCCCACACACAACACACCCCCACACAGCCCCACACACAACACCCCCACCCCCACACCCCCCACACACACCCACACACACCCCCACACACACCCCACCCCCACACACCCCTACACAACCCCCACCCCACACCCCCACACACACCCCCACACACAACACACCCCACACACACACCCCCACACACAACCCCCACACAACACGCTCCACCCCCACACACACACCCACACCACACAACACCCCCAACCCCCCCCCACACCCACACCCACACACACAACACCCCACCCCCTCACACACACACACCCCCCACACCCCACACACCCCACACACACCCCCCACCCCCACCACCCCACACAACCCCACACCACACACCCCCCCACACACACACCCCACACAACACCCACCCCCACACACCCCCACACACAACACCCCCAGACACCCCCCACCCCCACACACACAACACCCCCACACCCCCCACACACAACACCCCCCACCACCCCCACACCCCACCCCCCCCACACACACCCCCACACACACCCCCACCACACCCCACACACCCCTACACAACCCCCACCCCCACACCCCCCACACACACCCCCACACACAACACACCCCACACACACACCCCCACACACACCCCCACACAACACCCTCCACCCCACACACAACACACCCCACACACCCCCCACACACAACACCCCAGACACCCCCCACCCCCCCCCCACACACACACCCCCACACCCCCCACACACAACACCCCCCACCACCCCCCACACACACAACACCCCCCCACACACACCCCACCCCCACACACACAACACCCCCCCCCACACACACAACACCCCCCACCCCACACACACAACACCCCACACACAACACCCCCCACCCCCACACCCCCACCCCCACACACAAACCCCCACCCCACACCCCCCCCACACACACACCCACACACACAACACCCCCCACCCCCACACACACAACACCCCCACCCCTCACACACAACACCCCCACCCCCACACCCCCCACCCACACCCCCCACACACACCCCCACACACACCCCCACCCCCACACACCCCAACACAACCCCCCAACCCCCACACCCCCCCACACACACCCCCCACACACAACACACCCCCACACACACCACCCCCCCACACACACACCCACACAACACCCTCCACCCCCACACACAACACACCCCCACACACGCCCCCACACACAACACCCCCACCCCCACACCCCCACACACACCCACACACACCCCACACACACCCCCCACCCCACACACCCCTACACAACCCCCACCCCCACACCCCCACACACACCCCCACACACAACACACCCCACACACACACCCCCACACACACCCCACACAACACGCTCCACCCCCACACACACACACCCACACACACAACACCCCCCAACCCCCCCCCACACCCACACCCACACACACAACACCCCCCACCCCCTCACACACAACACCCCCCACCCCCACACCCCCCCACACACCCACACACACCCCCACACAACACGCTCCACCCCCACACACAACACACCCCCACACGCCCCCACACACAACACCCCCAGACACCCCCCACCCCCACACACACAACACCCCCCACACCCCCCACACACAACACCCCCCACCACCCCCACACCAGCCCCCCCCCACACACCCCCACACACAACACCCACCACACACACCCCACACACAACACCCCCACCCCAAACACACCCCCACACACAACCAACACACAACACCCCCCACACACCCCCACACACAACACCCCCCACACACCCCCACACACAACACCCCCCACACCCCCCCACACACAACAGCCCCCACACCCCCCCACACACAACACCCCCACCACCCACCCCACACACCCCCACACACAACACCCCCCACACCCCCCCACACACAACACCCCCCACCACCCCACCCCCACACACCCCCACACACAACACCCCCACACCCCCCCACACACAACACCCCCACCACCCCACCCCCACACCCCCACACACCCCCACACACCCCCACACACAACACCCTCACACACCCCCACACTCACAACCCACACACAACATCCCCCACCAACCCCCCACACAACACCCCCACCAACCCCCCCACACAACACCCCCACCAACCCCAGCACAAACAACCCGGCTCACCAACCCCCCACACAACCCCCCCACACAACACCCCCACCAACCCCCCATACAACACCCCCACCAACCCCAGCACAAACAACCCGGCCCACCAACCCCCCCACACAACCCCCCTCCAACCCCCCCATACAACAACCCCACTCAACCCCCCACCAACGCCCCCACACAATCCGGCCCACCAAACCCCCCACACAGCAGCCCCACCAACCCCCCACACAACCCGCCCCACCAACCACCCCACCAATCCCCCCACACAACTTGCCCACACAACCGTCCCCACCAACCACCCCCCTCACACAAGCCCCCACCAACCCCCCCACACAAACTCCCCCACACAACCCCCCCCCCCACACCTACCCACACACAACACCCCAACCCTCCAGATAACCCCCGCAACCCTCCACATAACCCCCCAACCTCCCCACAAAACCCCAACACAACCCCCGCAACCCCTCCCACACAACCCCCCCAATCCCCCACACAACCTGCCCAAACCCCCCACACAGCCCCCCAAACCCCCAACCTCCACACAACCCCCCAAACCCTCCAACCTCCACACAACACCCCAACTCCCCCACAACATCCCCAACCCCCCACAACACCACCAACCCTCCCCGCAACAACCCCAACTCCCCCAAAACACCCCCAATCCTCCCCAAAACACCCCCAACCCGCCCACAACACCACCCAAACCCCACAATACCACCCAAACCCCCACAACACCACCAAAACCCCCACAATCACCTCAAATCCCCCACAACTCCCTCAAATCCCCACAACATCCCCAACCCCCACCACACCCCACAATACCCGCAATCCTCCCGACAACACCACCTACCCCCACAATCACACCAACCCCACACAACGCCTCCATCTCCCCCACAACATCCGTAACTCTCCACAACACACCACAAACCCCCACAACACACGCA